AAGTTCGGTTTCTCCTAGCGGGTATATTCTCTTCTGAGGCAGTCCTTTGCTAGCTTCCTCAAAATTGATTTCCAAATCGACATCTGGCCTGTGGGGAGGTAACTTGGTTGATTCCTTTTCTTGGAATAAGTCTAGATGTTGATGGTATTCCTTGGGTACCAGTCGGTCTAGTTTTTCGTCCTTGGTCTGAGGTCGACTTCTTATGGCTAGCTCTGTACTGATATTGATCTTTGCTAGGCTTCTTCCTTGGTTTTGATATTCCCATTTGAGAATTCCTGCCGTTTCTCCCTTGCGATAGAATTTGCCGAAGGCTTGCGCCGATATCCTGTTGATCTCGATCCTTGGTACTTTTTCTGCTGTCGGCCTTTCCTGGTCTGTGCTGCCGAATCCTTTGGTTCCTCTGGTGGTTTTGGTCAGGTTCTCCACTTCTTGGAGTTCCTCTTCATTGATTTTTTCGATAATCAATTGCGCGATCTTATCGCCTCTTTTCACCATATAGTCTTTGTTGTCCTGGTTGACCATGACCACCTTCAATTCACCTGTATAATCGGCGTCTATTACTCCAGCATTGGTAGTAAGTCTGTGTTTGACTGCGAGACCGCTGCGTGGTGCTATATGCCCATAGGTTCCTTGAGGTAACTCAATGGGTATGCCCGTTGGAATAATTACCTGCCCATTGGCCGGTATCTTGACTTCTTCGTTGGCATACAGGTCATGTCCTGCTGCCCTTTCGGATCCTCTTGTGGGTATCTTTCCTTCTTGGCTTAGCTTCTTGACTTTGATCCTGGGATTTTTTCTTGGTTGAACTTGATTGAACCTCGCGTCTAGGTTCTCTTGTAGTGCTTCTTCTTCGGGTATTGTGTATATTACCGGCGAGCTGTTGAGACACCATGTCGTACATCGTTCGCTGGTAAACGCAACCTTTCCTTCTTCCCAACTGATGGTAGGGTTGTATTGTCGTAACCATGGCATCCCTAGGATTATTTCATGGTGTTGCAGATTCGCCACTTGGAAGGTCGCCACTTCCCTATGATTCCCAATGTTCATAGGTACTTGCGCTGTATGGGTAATTGGCCCCATATCGCCCGGTTTTTCGTCTGCGAGGTAAATCTGCCTTTCTTTCTTCGTTTTCTTGGTCCTTAACTGGTATTTCTTGCAGACTTCATCGTCTATGAAGTCTTCCATTGCTCCTGAGTCGAGCATCACATGTATCCTGATTGCTTGTTTTTTGTCGTTGTATATTGTGGTTTCGATCATGATATGATCATTGTCGTTATTGTTTTTCTGACTTAAAAGAGTGTAGTAGTTCACCGTCGAGATGGGTTTGTCTTTCGGAGGGTCCCGCAGACCATCTATTGCTGGGGACCTTCGTCTTTTGCCACCGTTTCATATTCGTCTTCAATATCGATTTCCCTGATATTGCTGCGGGGTTGGAATCTGGTGCTTGGCCTGGTATTCTGTTGGCTTCTTCCTTGACTTGGGTTGGCCGGCCGTCTGCAATCCTTTATCATGTGCCCTGCTATTCCCCATCTTAGGCACAGATTGTTGTTTCGTCTTCCAAGGTATTCGTCTCTTCCGAGGTTGAGCGACGGCCTTTTCCTTGTTGCGTCCAGATCCATTGCATTACCTCCTTGCGTGGTGGTCCTATAGATCCCATTCTGGTTCCTAGGGGTGTTTTGGTTTCTGGTGCATGTCTGGTTAGACTGGCTTGAGGCTGGCTGAGTCTTTGGTATCCAGTCTAGTTGTCCGAACCGAATTTCTTTTGGAATGGCCCAACTAGCCATGGCTTCTGTTGTCGTGAATTTTCCCTCGGTGTATCTCCAGGCTTCTTGATAGGTCCTTCTCAGACCTTTCATGAACCACCTCATTGCTGTTGCTTCGTCGCATTCGGCATCGTATTGGAGAAGTCTGAATTTGTACCAATAATCGGTGACATTTTTCCTTCCTTGTCTGATGTCTTCCAATTTGTTTCGTGCCGATTGGCTCAGTTCCATATTCATGAACTGGGTTTCGAATATGATTTTGAAGCTGTCCCAGGTTGTCCATGGTACTGGTGTCTGACTGAGCACTATAGGAGTAACCCACTGTAGGGATGCTCCTTCAAGTAGTGTTAATGTGTAGCGTATTTTGTCGTCATCGTGTTCTTGGTTCTACCCTACTGCATTGAAGTATGTGAGGAGTTGGACGATAAATCCTCGTAGCTTGCTTGTTTCCCCATCATATCTGGGTGGTATTTTGACTTTTGGCTTCTGATCTCTGCTTCGGTATTCCTCTTGTATCATCTGTTGCACTCCCTCTCGCGTGAACTGGGCTGGTCCTGCTGGTGGCGAACCAGGTGGTGGTGCGGGTCCTGACATTCTTTCAGGTCTTGGTGTTTCTGGAGTTTCTTCTGGTAAGGGTGGAGTGATTGGTTCTGGGGTGACGGGACTTGTCGATCTTGCTGCGTTTTGACTTGCTTCGCTAAGCACTTCTTCCAATCCTCCTAATCCTAGACTGTTGTCTTGGACGTCTATGTCTCCCTCGTGATCTCTATTGAAAGGATCCGTGGTGTATTCGTTAAGTGTCGCGTTGTAGACATGTTCTAATGTTAAGAATCCTACCGGGTAGGACCTAGCGACAGGTAATGATACTTCTCTTGGTGTAAGGTACTTGTTCTCAGGCCTATGCCTATGCGACTCCGATAGTCCAGTCCTGTGACTACTATCTTATTCGCGCCTATCTTCTTACTCTTCTTCTTAGTCCTCACTCAGGACTTAGTTGTTTGACGTGGGAGGAGAAATAGTTTTCTCGCTTGAGAGGAAAGACAATTCTCGGGTTGCTTAAGATAAATCTTAAGAGCGTAAAGGTAGGTTTTATTGATAATAACTTAAAGGTAGGAAATAAACAAGAAGAACGTGTGAAGAGCTCATACTCGGGGTCCTAGTGACCCTTTATATAGTCGCTCTTCACCTGGCGTGACTCACACCTCGCGTCATGCGAACCTTGTGACTCATAACCATAAGTCATATGAAATCCATCAGACGACTCCTATGAGTCCCTGCGCAACATGCCTAAACCAATCAAAACATAATAACCAAGTCAGGTGCGCAACTCGCGTCACCTGAGAAAAACCCATGACTCATAAGTATGAGTCATGTGCGAAAATTATAACATTGTGTGACTCACAATTGTGAGTCACGAACAGGTAAACATAATAACCTATGGCGCACTAGTGTGCGTCATGTAAAATCCCAACATACCTATAACTCGGAAATCCGAGCTATGTGAAATCTGCCTTGCTTAGTCACAGTTCGTGACACTCTTATTAGAATTAGGTGCTAAATCTAACATATGTATAGCTTAGAATCCTGAGCCATGTGTAATCTGCCTTGCTCAGTCACCACTTTTAATGGTGGAAGACATTGCTAGAGATCCTATATTTCAGCAGGATGGTACAAAGATATATACTGCAAGATATACTGCAGCTTGGTTTGCAGAAAACCATATGCAGGTTATTGAATGGCTACTCAATTTCTCAAATCTCAATCCTATTAAGTACTGTTAGAAAAGGTTAAAGGAAAAGCTGCACCAGCACTTTCCTAACATTTACAAGACTAAGTGAGGTCTAGATACTATTGGAAGACATCTAGTAGAAGCTCTTAATATGGTTTGGACCCAGGATATTGAAGGAGAATTCTTGGAAAAGCTATAGGAGTCAATGCCTAACATAGTACCTACTGTTTTAGATGCAAAAGTACGATATACAAAGTATTGATTTTTTTTTCCTTCCAATTTCACATAGGGGTTTTGTTATACTTAATGGATGTCTATTTAAATTTTCAGTTCATTCTAAGTAGTTGTAGTTACATAGGTAGTAAATTTATAGTGGTTGTAGGGTTTCCATTGCGGTGCCGGACGATCCCTTTTGTCCGGGTACTTTATACACAATCTACAAATGCTATCTCACGAAGGTCCTGTTTCTGTTATCAGTAGTTCTTTCCTCTCATTTTCCTTCCATTCGAGTTTCTTCTATGAAACAGACACCAGTCCTACTTCCAAGTTGCATTTGTCCCGCAGCGGGTTTCCCGCTCCACGTTATGGTTAATGAAATGGTTTGCAAAGTGGCTTCGGACTTGGGATCAAAATGAACACAGCCACTACCTCCAGTATCGTATCGTGGCACATTGTGTCAATATCCTTGCGGGGGTAGCGAAAACTGGGCGGTAACTTCCCATAAGCTCCTACCCAACCAAGGGCCAGAAATCACGAAATGGAAAAATGGATATTGATAGAGTGGTCACATGGAATGAGCTCGTGTATAACAGCTCAAGCGAGCACCCTCAAGGCTGATATGAAAAGGTTCTCCGGGCCCTCGTCCAAAATCTCCCCGATAATTGCACAAGCGCTTCCCCATAGAAGGTGTTACCGGTCAGGGGACTAAACGTAAACACGATCGTCCCGTGCCCAATGACCACCAGTCAACCAGCACATCCAGGCGAGTGACAATTCATGAATATGAAAATCCTATGTTCACAACACAATTTGCATACTCGCTTTTATATAATACTAAGAAAATATCCTCGCCCCATGTTGGATTTATGTTTGGGAGGAGGAGTGGCAGCGAGAGGGCTGCTGGCCTTGGTAGTGTTTGTTTTTTGTGTCTGTGTTTGGTGGGAGTGGTGTTGGCTTGTCACTGGAACACAATGCTGGTTGAGCGCGTATCCCCGGAGGGTGGTCGTTCAGGTGATAGCTCGAAGAATGATATGAATGTACATGTACGAGTACAAATCGCCTTGTAGCTAGTTTTAGCGAGTGATACCAAGCGACCACTAATAAAACTAGGCTTGAGCTGGCTCGGGCCTTAATTCCCGAACCATTTTGGGAGGCTCGAACCGTACATTAGTCTAAATCTCGAGCGGCCCGAGTTCACTTGCTGTCGAGCCGAGCTAACTCGAGCCAGTAGGAGGCTCAACTCGAGCGGCCTCGTAAACAACACTATGAGGGCGGGGACCATTCAGCTTGATATGATACGTTTAAACAACTTTAATTACAGAACCATAATATACGACCGGCAACCCACGGGAGCGGGGGTACAACAGTCACAACGGGCAATAGGCGCAAGACTAAGTAGGAAAAGATGTAGGGAATATCATATCTAACTGCCCCCAAGCTCATCCCGACAGGCCACCAACAGGCCGATTGGAAACTCCTTTTCGACTTGGAAACAAGAAACAGCAACCGGATGCGCAAGCGCAAGTAGAAAAGCAGCTGGAAATTGGACAAACAAACTAAGCTACGAAAGCGTACAATACAGACTACTTTGGCCTAGATAGAATAAAGGAAGGGAATAAGGGAAGAAAAAGTAAACATCAACAGCGAGAACTAACCAGGTGATACGCGTTTTTTTTCGTAATTCCCTCCATGCACCCGCCCTCTAAACATCCCCTGTTCAGCATCATTGGAAATTAGATTAGAAACGATTTCGTCTTGTCGTAAATTGGTTTCCAGAAGTTCTCTCGACGTTGACTTCGGTAGTTGTCATTGCCACCGGCTGCCAAATGATACACTGTGTGCCTGTCTCTAGTCGTAGTAGATAATCCGCCATCGCATAGGCCTCTCTCTGGTCTTGGTTTCATGACTAACCTATCGTGCCGTGACTCACTCTCACGATCTCATTTTCCCCGAATCCGATCCAGCTCGATGTGATTTATTGAGTGTCGGTTCGCGAGCATTCACCCGCCCCGTCCGGCCGTATATGTGTGTGTGAGGAGGAAAGTATGATATGGCGCGCGCAGAAAAAAGAAAAAAAAGAAAGAAACTAAAAACAAACCAGACCAAGCGACATAAAAAACAAGACATGGCAACACTTAAGAAAGACTACGACTGACCGCCATTGGTTTTTTTGCATTTGCGTTTCTTTTCGTTGCTTATTCGGTTCGGTCTCGTCTCGTCTCGTCTCGTCGGTAGATAGATAGGTGCAGCGTGGTAACGAATGATGTCTGATACGATGAAATGAACAAGGATTTTTTTTAAAAAAAGAAAAATTGTTTCTCGCGGGCCTGTGTTCCGGGGCTGCAGGACATAAAGGTAGGTGGAAGAAGCAGGGAAAAATATATGAACGCCGAATAAGATACCAAGAACGATATGTCGAAAATAAGCCACCGGCCTCCACACTCTCATTTTCTCTCAAACCCAATTTCCCGCCGGTAGGGTAAGGTAAGGTGCTCACGCAACTAACTAATTCGAAACCTCAACCGTCTTGGGAGGATGATACTCGTACCTCGGTAGCATTGCTCTCCTCTCCTCCTAGGGTGCCAAATTCTCACGTCAGCCATAGTACTTGTAAAAGGAGAGAAGAAATTGCGGGTGGAAAAACTCACAGGGCTAATCTCATTATCCGCGTACACCATTTTAGTCTCCCTCTTGGGTTTCTCCCTCTCATGATTTTTCTTTTCAGTCGATTGGGCGTCGGGAAGCCCACTCTGGGTAGTTTCCAGCGCGGGCTTCTTTTCGTCGGCAGTGGGATTCCCGCTTCTACCGTGGGCGTGTCCGTGGCCGTTGGTGCCGTGTGGCTGGTAACCGCGGTCCGCGTGCTGCTGCTGCTGCTGCTGCTGATACGGTGGTTGGTTAAATGGTTGCTGAATGGGGCCGGCCGGTTGGTAACCCCCTGTTGCGGCGAAACCAGCGTTAGCTCCGCCAGCCTGGGGATACATTTGACCTTGTCCCTGTTGCTGCTGTTGGTTCCAACTTCCACCCCCGCGGCCAAACCCGGGATTGTTCATGGGTGCACCGCCGAAATTGGGTCGGGGCGGGAGTCCGGGCGCGTTAGGCCGTGGCGGAAGACCTGGGATTTGGTGAGGCTGAGGGAGGGAAGGCGGAGCGCGAGGGATATGTTGAGGTTGTGGTCCCTGTTGGGGTTGGAATTGATTGTGTGGATTTGGGCTATACCCAGGACCACCATTTGAACCGAAAGGAGGGTGTGCAGTATGGGGAGAGCCCGAAGGCTGGAAGCTACTGTATCCTGGGCCAGGTGGAACGGGAGCTCCACGACCAAAGGATGTCGGGGGCTGCTGGAATGGTTGTTGATGATAAGGTGCTGGGTAAGCTGTCTGGTTCTGCGGGGGATAAACTGGTGCGGTAGGGTATGTAGGTAGTGCCTGCGGGGATGGATACGCACCCTGTTGGAAAGGGGCCGGAGCCGGATTTTGCTGTACAACCAAGTTAACTACCACCAACTCAACCACCACTACGAAGAGTAGGGAGACAACATACAAATCCAGCAGCCGCCACCGGCTGCTGCTGCTGCTGCTGCTCAAACCCGCCCACCTGTCCCGGACTCGCACTTCTCCCACCCGCCACTGCGGAGGCCGGGCTCACACACCCCGGCCCAGAGCCTGCAACCCCACCGCCTGCAGCCGCAGCAGCCATAGCCTTCTTATGCGCCTCCAATTTCTTCTTAATATTTTCCGGGTCCAAATCCTTACTAATATCGACCTTCGGCCTCTTGGGCGCATTCCCGGATTGCCCACTCGCCGCGCGGCGATCAGCTTCCCTCTGCGCCACGGCAGCTAGTATCCTCTGGTTGTGCGCATTCACCTCACTCTCCGGTATCCCCTCTGTCCCGAATATCTCCAGGTCTATTGATTCCCGACCTGGTAACGCATTATCAACGGCCTCGAGTTGCTCCTTGTGCACTTGCTCCATGTGGACGCGCAATCCTTCCTCCACATTAGCTAGGCACTTAGAGGATAAAAATAGTATAGGGGGAAGGGGGTTGTATTAGATACCGCCAGCTGTATTCAACCGTCGCCCACATCGTTCGCACTTGTAATGCTTTGCCTTTTGATGCGCGATAAGTATTTTCAAGTCGTCAAAGTCGCGTTCGCAGTAGTAGCACCATGGCCGGGCGAGGAGGTCCTCAGCTTCGGGATTTTGCCTCTTCTTCTTTTTTGTCATGGTTGACGATGGGTGGCGATGGGTGGTTGAGAGGGGAGATGATTTTGCTTTCTCCCAGAAACGAATCGGGGAGGGGAGTGAAGGAAAGGAAGGAAGGCGTTGTGGAAAAATTAAATTGGATAGGGAGTGGTTGGTTGCGGAGCAGGGTGATTTGCTAATTACCCTAATTTGGCGATTTGGTGGAGTTTTTTCTCCTTTTTTTCTTAACTTGTGAGTTGGCTCCTTTAGGGTCTCAAACTCTGGGATGGGAAAAGAAATACCCAGTAAATTATCTTGACTTTAAAATATGCGACAACGCTTCAAACATCGCCATCACCACCGCTATACAACAACAATATTTTTTCTATATTATCGTACCGTCCCTACTTTGTACATAACCAAAAATCCATTCTCCACCCTCCTTCCCCAAACTCCCCTCCCCCCCCAAGCCCCACCATACCTACCGCAACGCAACCCACCCCCAGCCGCTTTTTCCTTGCCAAAAGCTTTCCTATCGTGTTATAGCGAGAAGAAAACCACTTCTTCACCACCGCGTCCTGCGGTCGAAGGTCTGTGGGGGCCGGGGTGGGCGCTCACTTCTCGTGTTCGTTGCTAGAGCGAAAATACTCCTGAACCGGGAGGGACCTTCATAGTTCATGCCTAAGCTTGTCTGCTTACTTGGGCGCGACTCCGTGTGTTCGACATTTTTATACCATCTAGCCTCCAACTACGGCAAGATATGCGCAGATACCACACTATGCTGCACTCACCTGTTCAAGCGTTGTGAATTATTTCAAATGCACGGGTATACTTTAGGTATAGACTAAAGAAGATAGACTACTTGCAATTGCCATAGTATTAAAGGTCGTGCATTAAGCAAGCAATAGGTAAAACGGAAAGGAGAAAAGCTCAAAAACAATAATCCTTCTATGGAAGCCCAGGGTATTCCCGCCTTGATATGGTAATAAAAGAAATGTAACCCAAAAAAGACTAACAACAAGAAGGCACTACGTTCCCCTTCGAACCTTCTCGTATATACATATCCACACTCCCCCCACCCACTCAAAAACAGGGAAACAACGCCCACCCAAACCGGTAACAGTAACAACAGTACGGGAAAATAACATTCAATCCCCCCTACACGATAACACACCCCATCCTATCGCCGCCTTGCTCTTCAACCGCCCTCCTTTCTCCTCTCCTCTTCTTCCTTTCACGGACGTTCGCAGCGGCGCTTCTCTCCGGCCGACTCGTGTTCCTCCTAACGCTCCCGCGAACTCCCCTCCCCACGCGAATACTTCCCGTACCACCGGTGCTCCTCACACTACCCCCCCTCGATGCCGGACCCCGCCTATGGCCATTCTCACCAAGCACTAGCATTGAAGAATTCGGGGCATAAGATTCTTGGAGGTTCACCCTGCGCCCATGGGAGGGCGAGCGGCCGGGACTAGGTCTACGGGTGGGTGTTGGGCGGTATTGGACCGAGTTGCGCCTGTTGGTTGCGGATCGTTGCTGTGGCGGCAACTGATCTGGGAGGAGGCTACTGCCGTAGTGCGACTGCGGAGTCCGAGGTAGTGGTGGCTGAGGAGTTGGCAAGGGCGCGTAGTGGCCTACAAGGTCGTCGTAAATCGGTTGCGGTGGTGGCGCCGAGGACTCCCGGTGCATGCCCGGCACTGGGCCAGCTGCTGGCGGGCTGGCGAGGATGTCACCTGCGCTGCCACGCCGGCCGTATTGGCTGTGATGGCGTTGTGCCGCCATATACGCTGATTCTTCGGTTCTTGCGAGAATGCCCAGGTGCGCTGCGCCAGGGTTTCCCACCGCGGGACTAACGGGTGCGGAACGGGAGTGGGAGATATCCGGGTAGGGGCGAGTGGGTTGAACGCTGAGATTAGGCTGGTTATTTGTGGTGATGCGGAAGACACTGGGTCGGCGCACTATCGCCCCAAAAGTGCTTCTTGTGCGATTGAGAGCGCTAGAAGCACGCGGTGGCTCCTCGGATGCATCGGTAAAATTGTTGAAGCGTGGGGGGCCCTGTAGGCTCTGAAGAAGGTGTGGGGGCAGCGGGCGATCGCTGTCGTTCTTCGGAGTATAAGGCGGCGGCGGAGGAACCCAATCATCATCCTCACGGAAACCCGGCATCGCCTGGTTCTGTATTGGTCTGCCATCCGGACCCACCACGCGTAAATATCGAGTACTCGTAGCAGTTTGAGGTACATTTCTAGCCGCTGACGCCGCCCGTTGCAGGGTGCCCCGAGAGCGTGGATCGCCATGATAGTAAGGAGTCGCATCCATACCCTCATATCCAGCTTCGTTCTCATCAAAAGAAAGCCTAGAGATGGTGGAAGCGGATGAAGGGCGCGGAGGAGAGGGCTGAGGTTGTCTCGAAACCGTTGGTAAAGATGGACTGGCACTATCGGCGTCGCCTCTAGCATACCGTAGAGTCGACTGTCGCCGGTCACTATTCCTCTGTTGTGCAACCGTCCTGCGCCGGACAAGGTCCACTTCTACCTCGATGTCGTTCTGCTGCTCCTCCAATGTCTCCACAGGCCCTTGAATCCCATCCCCAATCTCCAGTGTCATAACCGTCTTCTCGGGCACTCCCGGCCGCCTGCCAAAATCATAGAGCATGACCCTCCCACCCCCAATGGCCAAATACTCCTCCTCCCCCGCTTCCCCGAGTAGACCATCAACCCCACCCCCGGCCACTGCGACCAAACGTTCCGTTCCATTCACACACTGAACAAACCTCAGCCCGGCCAGAGAATTAACCTCACTGATCTCGCGTCCCCTAATGAAGACGTTCCTCATTTTGTCACAGAGCACTTGCCATTGCGGAACATTGATGGCCCCCAATTGGCCCCTCTCCCATGCCAAACCCCCTACTCCACTACCACTACCACCATTCCCCGCAGTGCTGTTGCTTCGCTCGGGTGTTGTCGACACACTATTCACACTGCCCCCCTCCGACCCCTCAAGTGGTAAATCCAGCTTCCCAGGAATCCCATAAACCCACACTTTCCCACCAAATCCCGCCGCAACCATCCGACCATCTCTGGTCGGTGCAGGAAGCGTGGTTGGCGAAACAACTCCCAGGCTCTCACTCGAGGGTCCGGTAAAGTATGTGTGTCCATTGCGAAGGTCATCGACCCTCACAGCGCGGAAAGTCTCATACACACGGTCGTAGGTAAAGGTCCAGGTGTTTTCATCCTCGGCGTGGCTCTCCTGAAGCAGGCTAGCATGGCTGCTATCGCGCGAGCTCCTAGGAAACAAGACTTGGGTAGTCCATAGCTGTGCTAATCCTTCTACAGGCAAATCTGTGGAAAAGTGCTGAGCCGATACAATTACGGTAGTTGGTGACCTAGAATTAAGCGTTGTCCCCAGTAAAATCGTCCCATCGGATGAGAAGACTAGGGAATCCACTGTATCACAATTGACAGCCCGGCGATCCGAAGCGAGCGCACCCGGGAGCAAGGAATAGACCTCTATGCCCCCATCGTACGCCGCACCCAGCACCTCGGCCCCTGGTGAAAGAGCGATGGTCCTCGGTTCGTTCTCCAGAAGGATCGCCTTCAAGATACGCGCCTTATCCCGGGTGAGATCATATAAGGTAACATGGTGGTTGCTGGAGAGAACAGCGATAGCGGTACCGTCATCAACAATGGCTGCAGATACGGGTCGTTTACTAATTTTCAGTTCCCGCTTAACGTGCACCTCCGGTTTGGACAGGTCGAGCACGAATATCCGGCTAGAGCTGAAGGCTAGGAGGTGCCTCCCTCTCGGCGAGAATTCAAACCTGAATGGCTCGCCACCTGGGAACGCAGCAGCTGACGAGGAGGCCTCGCAAATGAGCTGGATTTCGGTGACCCGCGGGTGCAGAATGGTCTCAAAGAGTTCTCGTCGAGCCTTTGCAGTAAAGCGTTGGATCAGGTTGGGCAGTGAGTCGTCGCTCGGCTCGTCAGGAACATCCATCGCGCCAGACTTCCTCAGCTGGTGGGCATAGAGGAGTGGAGTTCGAGATGCTTGATGCCAGGCTGAATTGACAAGAGTTAGCGAGTCGAAGGTATTAGGATCCGCCGCATACAATATTCTACTCCTCATTAGCCATCGCAACCGGATAAAGCGCCCAGCCGAACTTGGGGAAAAGGGCAGAACAAACTGTTGGATAATCTCCCTCGGAAGTGTTTCGAAAACCGATCCACGTTGCTTCTCCTTTCCCTTCCCCTTTCCCTTGAAATCGACATCCTTGAGAGATAGCGGTAACCTCGCCGGCAGCGGCTTCTTTCGAACAGAAGACGCCATGGTTGATATTTTTCCGAGGAAGAAAGAGAGAGAGAACAGTAAACTCTTTCACCTTATTCCCAGCGGGCGGGGCGTTATTAAAGTATTTTTCAAAATAAAACAAAACGGAATAAAATAAAATTAAAATAAGGAATTCAGTGGCAAGAGAAGGAAGGAAGGAAGGAAGGCAGAAACACGAGAATAGGTACGGTAGGCAGGATGAAAAAAAAAACGGAAAGCGATGAACCGGGGTGGCGGTATCAATAAAAAGAGAGCTGTATGAGCACGGCTAGCGAAACAATGACCCCCAACTAAGGATGGCGCAGGCCAGAATGGCGTAATGCACGAGTGCGTCCCGGACTTTATTTCTAGCGGAGCTTGTTTGAGCAGGCGGTCCTTTTTTTTTTTTCTTTTTTTCCTTTTTTGTCAGGCTCTCTCCCACCGTCTGAGGGCTCGTGGTGGAGGAGTGAAGGAAGGAGAGTATGGTGATGGTGGTGGCGATGGAGATCACGAGGGCGGGGGGGGGGTTGGAGGGTTGGGAGGCGAATGCAGCAGGAGGAGTAGACTAGATATCATATCAGACGGCATGATACGATACCGGCACTGTTGGTACCATCTGGTATCCGTACAAGAGCAGTATGAAAGCCTCCTCCCAATGGGATACGAGTTGTTTACAGCATCATAACATATTTCAGCCCCTTCACCACCTCCCAAAATATGTGTTCCAGTACCGTAACACCGTAGACACGGCCCAAGAGATCACCGTATCATACATCAGACACGCACCCGAGGGAGCGCAGAGGTACTGGACCCTACTCGAGCACTTGCACCGGTGGTCGGCAACCACTGAGGGTTGGCAGCAGGCCTATATCACAGTGATAAACTTGGCTTCTGAGGGTGGACGAAAAATAGCAAAGGTAGGTTATTGTTAAAAAAGCATCATATCACACGGAATTACTCGTGCCAAGGTTGTGGCTGCTGAGCCACAACCCAGGCTGCTCGCTAGCTCGCAACCTGGGCACTCTCAAGAGAGTGCCTGACAGCTCAACATGACTTTGTGGCTCAACATGACTTTGTGGCTTACCATACTAATTCTGTGGCTCAACCTAACTTTGTGGCTCAACAGAACATTGTGGCTCAGCATGACACTGTAGCCAAAGATAGTATTATACCAGTTTACCACCATAGTACTAATTTTGTTAGTATTTGAAATAACTCTTTCACTTGAAATAATTTTATATATGGCTTTAGTATAAAACAATTTGGTATTCTAATTGACAACTTCTATTATCCAACCTACAACAAATCATATCTCACAAACCATCATTTATTCTTCCAACTCAGCAAGCTGAATCCTACAAGCATAGGGAAATACCAATTAAGGTAGATAGGATAAAGAGCTTTAACTGGCTAAAATTCACCTGTGATGAGCTCAAGAGGCGAAAAAGAGAGTGGATACTATGGTATATAAGCCATTCTTGAATGAGATAAAAAAACAGGTAAAACAAAGGTATTAAATTTAGACCTATAAGATGAAGGTTTCTATGTTAATTGTTTATATATTAAGAGGTAAGTGGCAAAGTTATAAAGAAGAATATAAAGTAGAATACAATTTACTTCATAAACCTTTAAAAATATTAGAAACTATGTTAAGCTATACCTAGTCACAATGTTATGTTGAGCCACAGAGTTAGGTTGAGCCACAGAATTAGTATGATAAGCCACAAAGTCATGTTGAGCTGTCAGGCACTCTCTTGAGAGTGCCCAGGTTGTGGCTCAACAGCTACAACCTTGGCACGAGTATACCGTGCTGGAGAGAGACTTTTCTAAGGCCCTGTTCGGTTGCGCTGGGTCCATTTTGAACTGTTCCTGTATGAAATGGACAGACCTCTGGGAACGGTTACCAATTGGGTACCACCATTCACTAGTGGTAAACATGAAAAATTTTCACTTTAAGGCTTTGTGAAATTTTTTTACCAGTCCCTTCAATTCTTTTGAAATTTAAGCTTTTAATACTCAACCAACAACCTGGTGAAAATAGCTAGATAATAGATTAAACATTAGATATACTATAATAATAAAGTACCTCCCCAAAAGTGTTGGTGAAATGATCTTTTTACACCAAAAATTGGCAGGTTTGATCAACCCCCACACTTGGGATTGCTTCAAATAATCCTTGCAACCCATATAATTATTTTCACCTTCACTGCAGCTTTTACCTGACACCATTTATTTTGTCAATTTATTCTATGGGGCTAAACTACAAGTCTCCAAAGTTGACAATATCTATGGCTATACCATTTTTGTATGTAAAATGAAGCTTTTCAGTGAAGTCAAAACTTTAGGACTGCATAACTTCTCCAATTCTTCCCCAAAGTTATTAAGCGTCGAGTAGGAGTAGGGTGGGATTATTGTAACTACATACCAGAAGTCAGGTTGTAGAATCTTTTGTGGTTCCTAAACTACCAGTGGCGAAAAATCTATGTTTTTGGTGTAAAAAACCTATTTCACCAACACTTTTGGGGAGGTACTTTAGCTACTTATAATAAAACAAAACAATTTTTCACCATGAAATAGTGTCTCCACTATGCTGAAACTACTCCTGTACCTCTCTGCTTGATGTCCTGTGGCCAACAGTCTAGAAAAATATAATTAGTTACTCTTTAACACTTATATGCCAAGATGGTAAGAGTAGACTATGCTCAGTTATCTGGTTCTGAAGATCCAAGAAAGTGATTGTTGGCATGCATATAAGCTCCACCACATGACATGGATGTGCTCTTAGGATTTCTTCAGTATATTGGTGACCAGTATGACTGGAAGTATGTATATACTTGATAGGCAGAAAGAAGTCAATGTAAATTGCTGCATTGATTGCAATTTGTATTCATTGATGAAGGATTGTAGCATGGATGTGATTATCTGCTGGAGTACTCATTATTGAATTGTTTCAAATTGGAATTCAAATTCAAGATGTCTTATAGATAATAATATTTATACTATAGAAAACATATTCTATTGATAATGTTATTATTACAACTATTTACATGTGATGTTTCTACATAGCAACTGTTGTGTTAGGACTGTATCTGAAATGGAAGGTCAATGCCTTTTACTGTTACCGAACAGCCATTTGGTTCCTCCATTTTGAAATGGAAGGGAAACGGTCGCTTGTATGTTAAAACGAAATGGGCCCAGCGCAACCGAACAGGGCCTAAAACGGACAGAACAGCCCCTCCTTTCTTCCCTTCGAGTCACGTGCCAGACTGCCGCAAAACACCCCCGGTAAACAGGATCAAAATTATCAGACACTCCGTCCCTCCACTTGTTTAAGAGAATATAAGCCACAAATGCACCTTACAATACAATACCTCCCCTCCCAACCAACCCACGACCACCACCCATCAATCCATCTCTGCACGGCACCGTACTGCCGTAAGTACCGGTACACCGGTACAGTAATACCAGTACTATACTCGAGTACAAGGAGTGCACAAGTACCGTACGGTACGAGTACTAGTACAGACTCCACGAGTACAGTACAGTCCCCTACTGTACGGTATGAGACTACCGTACCCCCTCTCCCTCCATATGACACCACCCCTGCTACCCACATTCCATAACTCACAAACCCCGCCAGCCCGACATACCCACACCCGGAACCCTCAAAACCAGCGTTGGCCAACCTTTCCCTTTAATCCCTACCTAATTACATCACTAGGGGGAGGAGAAAAAAGAAAGAAAGAAAAAAAGCCCCGAAATAATTTTTCCCTGTTCAGTTCAGCTTGAGGGGCTGGCCACACCAGTAAACTATGGGGGATTTCCCCGTGGATGTAGGTGACGTATAGGAGGGAGAGGGGGATGAAGGACCAGTAGGTTTACGGGGGTCCAAAGCTCTTGGTACTAGTACTGTACCGAGGTACAGCCGGTAAGTTTTGTATATTTTACTAGCAGGGGTCGTGCTAGCGGGGGTAATGGTAGCGAATTCAATGGTATCTCAGTGGTTCAGAGTTTTTGACAACTTTTGACTTTGCCTAAATCCTTCAATCAATCCAGAAGGCAGATTCCAGTACCAGAATGGAGCATCCCAGAACCTCTCATCTGACCTGAGATCAGAGACAAGATTGCCAGCTTTTGCATTCAATTGGATGGAAGCATGGTCAAATTCAAGAGAAAACTGGATACTCATCTGACCAGATCCAATATGCATGTACCTTCCCAGCTACTCCAAAAAAAAATAGCAAGATTGTCCTCCAGTTCTTTTCAAAGCTCAAACAGGAGGGGTCTTATAGTATATGTATATGTATTGGCCCATAATTGGCAACTTTCCTTCCAACAACTTGTAGAAGAATTGGACTTGGGAGTGGGAAAAATTGTAGTAAGACCAGCATGAGTTAAGGAGGGAGTTCACCACTACCTTGCTATGAGAAAACTACCAATCAGTGAGAGAAATTGAGTAATTAGGCTTCAATTGACTCAGGACCATGTGAACTGGTCTATGGACCAGGGGGTACTCAATCCTCTGGATAGATAAAATCTGGATTATAGGAGGCAGATATATATGAATGTAGGTTATTAAAAAAACTAGTGAGGAGTAGGACCCTACTTATATTGTTGAATAGTATCAGAGAAAGAAAAGATAGATGTTCTGTGACTATTTCTATAGAGAAACAAAGGACCTGGATATATTCTAGGAAAAATATTAGGGATTAATTAATTCAGAAAGTTATTGTGCTTATACAGTTCTGATTATTCAAAGGTACCTTAAATTGAGTAGGCGGAAGAGAATCTATTTAAAACTGATGCGGGAGCACCAAGACATGCAGCCAGTAATACATAAGCTGACCTGCTAGAAAGGAAAATCCAGATTATTTACTAGCCTCCATTCTTACAACAGACTTGAATTCAATTAAATGAGTATGACATATTATGAAAAATTATCCACCAAATAATTATTGAGAAAACAGGACATATGACTGATTAAGAAATGCTGTAAAGGAATTGTAGGATAAGATTAGGCT